TATATAAGCCAATGACTGAATCCAGCGTCAATCTATGGTCATGCCTGCGAACACACGGTATAGACGGCCAGCTGCAACGGGCCATCCAATCACTGCTTTCTGACAGCTGGTGCTGCGTCAGAGTAAATGGCGTTAAGTTGAAGCCTTTCAACGTTGGCACTAGTCTCGGCCAAAGCTGCGTCCTGTCCCCTATCCTGTTTGTGTTGTACATGGAAGAATAGTCAGGAGCTGCCAAGGCGATGAGGCTATCGGTGTAGGAGATGCGAAGTCGAGAAGGCTGCTGTTTGCAGACAACCTTATTTTATTAGCATGAACTAATCTACAATGCGCCGGGAATGGTTGGCAGCTGAGTGCGATGTGATCGGCATGTGTGTGAACGCCTCTAAAAGAAGAGCCTACTGCTTTTTCGTTCTCCTGCTCGTTGCTCTCTTCAGATTAACGGAGAAGCAGTGGAGCAGGTGGAAAAGTTCAAGTGCCTCGGAGTCGTATTTACTAGTGATGGAAAATTTGAGGAAGAAATCGACCGGCGAATCAGAGTAGCCAGTGGCCTTAGCCACTGTGACTAAAGTAGAGCTGAAGAATATGCTCACGGTATTCAAGGCGATCTTTATCCCCATACTTACTTACGTTCATGAGTCTTGAACCATGACTGAAAAACTTCGATCGCGAGAACAAGCAACTCAAATGGGCTTTCTGAGACGAATCGATGGCCTTAGCTTCTCGTCATGGTCCGGAATACAGACATCCGCAAGTGCCTTGGTGACAGTCGCAGTTTGAAAAATCACAGCTGCGATAGGTTGGATATGTGTTGGGAATGCGTCAAGAAAGGACTCCGACGCAGCTATTTCTTGCCCAGCCGACCGGCGGAAGGCCCAACGGACAGCCAAGGTGAATATGGTGCATGCGTAGGGAAGGAGTCTGCTTCAGAGTCCAGGTGTCTTCGACTGAAGTTCAGGCTCTGACAAGCTGGGAACGTTGGAAGCACTGTCTGACGCGTCTGTCTCTGCAACCCGTAGGAGAAGCGGTCAAAAAAGAAAAAGATGTTGACGATTAACAGTTTATTTAAATAGATTTTCCCTCGCATTGAATTAATAGTATACGGTAAGATAGTTTAGGTTGAACTGTGTACTACTGTTAAACCCAAAGCAAGATTCGCAGCTATCTTGCTTCTCAAGGTGGTGAGCCACATGTGGGTACGGTCAAACCTGGACTAGTTACCCTCCCGTATTTTGATAATGAGCTCTATTTTGGTTCCGAGTCGTGGCTGCTCCTGAAGGATTTTGAGTGTTTCATGTGTAAAGACAAGATTGCAATAGCATGGTATGAGTCTGTAATGAGAGATATACGTGAGTTCAAAAAGGATACATTTATTGACAATCTAATCATATAATAGGGAGGCCATGATGGACTGAATTTGTGTTTCCTCTCTCTTTTTCTCCTTCACCAGGACTGCTTCAATGATCTTTCTTTCCCGCCACTTTGTTTCTTTGAGGACGATGCTGCTTGACTCACATTCTGTAATGTTGTGCGTGTGCATTGAGTTATAGATGTCGTAGAATTGTTCGTTCAGTACTTTGGGATCCAGTAGATACGAGTTAGTTTGAATGACTTTTCTCATCTTATTCAGAGTTGTAAGACACTTATTTATTCCTCATTTAAACTACCTCGGGTCCGCCAGATCCGAATCATCTAAACAGCAATTTCGTGACGTCCACAACTCCGTTCACAGAAAAATTCGTCCTCATCTGAGCGAAATCCCCTAAAGAAAGGAGAAAAAAGTCTTCCTGGCTCTAAGGCCAAAGTTCTCGTTAGTCCCAAATCAGACACCTACGGAAGAGATAATTGCAGGTGCGGAGTCGCCTAGGAACCAAAAGGCAACTAATAGCGAAACAGGATGAGATTGTGTGTGACATGGCGAACATCCTAGAGAGGACCGGTCATGACCTGAACAAAAGAGGCAAGATCCATTATTAAAGGCATACATCCCTAAGAAAAAAGATAATAGGAAAAAAGTGTCATCCTGCGGCACATAAAGGGCATCTGCGCGACAGTCATGGAACTCCATAATTACAGGAAGAAATCGTCAAACTACGCGGAGGTTCAACTTCTGTAAAGAACAATGACTGCCACGCTAGCATCCAGTCTGATCAATTGGATTCTCGGAAGGAAGGCACAAAGTTTAGAGATCGATTAGATCAAAAAGGTCGCTAGAACTCAAACCAAGTATGGAGTGCTACCGAATTTCGGACTTCTACGAAAGTTGTATAATTGGCGCTCTCATGCCACTTATCATAGCCAATGCCTAGTGCCCAAAGTACTCATTCAACCGTTTCTTGGTTTTTATCTTTAGGGAGGTACTGATGCATGGCAACAACAAACACATACAAAATGCCATTGATTTCAAGAAAAAGTTTAAAGGGAGGCAAATGGAACCGACAGCTTCCATGGTATACCTTAACATCGTCTTCTTCTTCACGGACACGTTGGCGATCATAGAACATCGGTTAACTAGCAAGGAGGCATTAGTCTAACCACGGAGAAGAGAAGACATAGTCGGAGCCACTTGTATGTCTAAATTTTACGGAACTTTTAGCACTTTGAAAGTAGTACACACAGTACGTAGTTGTGCCATTAGATCCCCACTAACTCCGACTTTCGCTAAGTATACAAATAAACGTCGGAATAATTCTCAGAAATGACACTATTAACAGCAACGCATCATCCGGGTAATATATGTATATGGACGACGCTTGGTTTATGTGGCAACATTGACGCTATCAGACCTGATGCTGTCGAAAACGATTGAACAATATCCAAGATAAAATCAGTTTCACTCATAAACTCGAAAAAGTGAAAGGCTTTCGTTTCTAGACGTATTAAAATATAAGAAAGTGAAGTCCCTGGAAATGACCGTCTACAAGATGCATAACAGAACCGGAAGATGCATTAACTAAATTTTCAGTGCATCCGTATAGGTGAAAGCATGACCTAGTCAAACTACGTACCCAAGAAATTTGCCGATATGTCCATAACCTTTTATCTCACCAGAGCAGAATGACATATTGCCCGATGAGTCAAGAGAAAACAACTATTCGGAACCTTTAATCCTTGAACAGTTTCTAAAAGTAGACCGAAAGATGAATGGATTCAGTCAAGACCTAACTGTCTGCCCTTCGTAGAAACTTAAGAATATCCCGCGGGCCTTGAATAAATACGGAGTTGGAACCATGTGCTGCTCGCAGCATGCCGCAGAAGTTTGGGGATTTTTGTATAATAAAGAAATTCTATTACAACAAGATAACCCTTGGGAAATGTATGGCCTCAATTGCACTTGTGGCGAAACATATATTGAAGAAAATTCAGATAGACAATATATTAACTGCAGGAGCAGAACAGAACAAGTAGAGGTTCAGTTGCGGCAATACAAATCATAGCAGAAAACCATGCCATCCAGCATCGATTCAGCAAGATTATTCGAGAGGAAAACTGGAGGAAAAGGACGATATTGGAAAGCGTAATAGCTGAGCAAAATGAATAGATGGAAAGAAGTAGACGTAGATGATGAACTCAACTTGGTTATTGCTGTTGCACCATTAATACTCCAGTGCCTAACTTAGGTTCTGCTTTTTGTTCCATTTGCATTAGTGCTTTATCTTCCAATGTATATCTGCCACTGCACCAACTGATGCAACCGCGTCCGTCCCGTTTTTTAATTCAAGGCACTAACCCGGTTCCAATTAAGCTACCATCAAAAGTAGGAGGCTGGGGGAAAACATCAAGCTTGGTCTTTCCTGCAGGTGGTTTACCACAGTGACATGCTGTACCGTTGCGGACATTGACCCGGATCGAACAGTGGTCGCGAACTCGTCAGTCCGTTGTAATTAATTTAACTATAAATTGAATATATATAGAACAACCAATTTAAGTCAATAATTTACTTCTGAAATATAAATTCAAACCAGGGCTTCATTTGGGCTCAAAATTTCGTCAGTTACTTATTCAGTATTTATTGTACAGCAAGTCTCTCAAAAAATTAGGTTCATTTTATTCCGGTGCTGAATTTACACAAGCTTAAATTAGGCTCAAATTTTTATTATCTGATGGTAATGCTACTGCTATTTATTTTGGTTGAAATATCGATATAAATCAGGGACTTCATGATGAATGGCTGAGATTAGTCTGGTCCTTTATAATAGCTTACAAAAGTGATTGTACAGAACCATACCAACAAGTAAGTACTATTTGCGTTGCTGTAAAACGGCAGATGAGTTGTAACGCGTGACGCTTTGTGCAGTTCTGATATTTTGTCATTGGTGGAGTTGCGAGTTTATTAGGCTTCTGTGTATTGAATTACTGCAAATGCGTCTCTGTTCTTGACTGATTCTGCTCGAAACGTTTATTCTGTAGTCTTTTGTGCGAGTATTGTTTTACTTTGTGTAAAAATGTTTGAAACCATCGTAACTTACGGTTCACGAACAAACCGAACTAATTGTCATATTTAATTCAGACGAATGAGACATGGAATATGGTGTTTTACCGCTTTTAGTCCCATTCTTTCGTTCCATTTCTCAGGAATGTACACTTTCGATGTCGTATATTATGTAGTGCTATGACATTTTTCGGTGTGGTGCCAGTCGTCCTCGTCCTCTGTTGAAATGGAGAATAGAAGAATTGAATGCGTTACTTTGTAACACATGCGACTTCTTCTTTTTCTCTATTTAAATGATCTCTGACATGCACTGGACAAATTTATTTTAAAAGTTTCAGTCAATTCGATAATGATGCCCTAAAGCTATTCACAAGCGAAGGCTAAACAATAAGAGATAGCAATTGCTTA